TTGTTGATACCACCATTATTGTTGTTGTTGTTGTTGTTGTTACTACTACTACTACTACTACGACGACGACGACGACGACGACGACGACGACGACGACGAGGACGACGAGGACGACGAGGACGACGACGACGACGACGACGACGACGACGATGACGACGACGACGACGACGACGACGACGACGATTACAATTACCTAAACCCTAAACCCTAGATCCTAAACCCTAAAACCCTAAACCCTAAAACCCTAAACCCTAAAACCCTGAACCACCTTAAAACCCTAAAACCCTAAAGCCTAAACCCTTGTTATTGTTAGAACCCTCAGGTATTGGCGCTGGCCTCAGGCATTTACCTCAGCTTCAGGCCTGCCTTGAAACCTGGGCCTCGAAGCTCCCACAAGGCGGCTAAGGTTGGGGGAGTATATGGGTGGTTGTCAAAGTTATGGTCCCTTTTGGGTCCCTATTATAATACGGCACCTAATATTTAGGGTATCCAAAAAAGGGACTACAATTTTGACAACCACCCATATACATACATGTAATTTGATATGGTAGGATATAGTATATACGATATTCTGTAGTATATATTATATATTACAATACAGCAATAGCATAATACAGTATATATATATACTATTAGGGTAATATGGGGTTTGTATAGGATGTAGGGGCTATGTCTAGGGGTTAGGGTTTAGGCAGCTAAGGTGAGGGAATACATATTTGGGTAACACAGGGTTATATGAGGAGTATGCAGGGGTAATATATGCAATAAGGGAACAGAGAGGTAATATACAGTTATATAGGGACTATATAGGAAATAGGGCAATACGGCTAATGACTGGAACACTTGGAAGCTGGGGTTTCTTGGGACTAAAGAGGGATATCATTCTTACAGTGCAAAATCAGCTGGCAAATACCATGGAACATGAAATGGAAGCTTATTGATTATCCAGGGTTTTGGGCTTTCGGGTTGAGAGGCGTAGGATTGAGGGTCTGGGGTTGGGGGTTGTAGCGTTCATTTCTGTGCAGGGGCCATGTGGAATTCGCAGGTGCCTTGTAGCCAACTCTCTTCTTGGACACAGGACTGTTGCTTTCACGACTTTCATTCAGGCTGATCTCAAAATTGTGGACCGCTTTTGTCTATGGATTAAATTACGGCACCTAATTTCCGGGTTACCAAAAGGGACCTAATCCTGGGAACTGCCCATGTAGGTTGTGGTAGGTTTGTTTGACATCAAGGCCAAGCCCAAAGATCCTAAACATATAACTCCTTAAAGGGGTTACATAGGAGATCATATAGGGGACTATTATAGGGGGTTTGGAGATATGTGGATGCCTAAGGTTTAGGGCTTCAGGTTTAGGGATATTACCACCCCCCCCGCCCCCCCCAATAGTGGAGAATCAACTGGCGAAGAAAAGAAAATAGATAACCAAATGTAAACTGGGTTTATATCCCTGCGTACCCCCATATTACCCTAATATAGTCTGATATAACTCCTATATGCCCCGTATAACCATCACAGAATCCTGCATGAGGGGAGGCGGTGGGGGGTAGACGGGGCTTGATGTAACTGTGATACTGTAGGGGCCTAATAGTTAGAGTCTACCTCGCAAGCCAGTAGCCCATAATTATAGTCTACTTCCCACTATTTTCCTTCCACTTTGGGTTAGAATAACCCATTATTTGGAGAACATTTTGGGTGAGAATAACCCATTATTTGGAGAACACTTTGGGTTAGAATAACCCATTATTTGGAGAAACTACTGTAGGCCTTCCAGGTAGGGGTTAAGGTTCAGGGAATTGCCAAGGTTTTGGTCTGAGATTCCTTGTATAATTCTGGTATACGTTATGTCAAACCTCAAAACTAATATAGGTCGTAATTTATAAGAATCCCGAAGGCACTCCTAATTTTCCCAGTCCTCATTCGACTTTTTCATTATTTTTGGGTAATATCCACTGCTTGGAACTATTCCCCGAGCCCTAACCTAGCAGGTGAAGTCCAGGTTATTGGCGTGGACGCCAAGGACAGTCCAGTGGAGGCTTTGGAAGTTGCGAAACCAAGTTGTACCATCAAGGGGTTTAGGGTCTGGGGTTTCCCAAAAGAGATGGGTACTTTGCTGGGGATACCAATCATAAGGATTATAGTATACAGCAGCTTAGAGTGAGGCCTGAGATTACAGGCAACTGGATCTCAATATATAATGGATGTATTGATGGCGCCTGCATGTGCAAATGCCGACAACAACCGTTACTCTCCGAGCAAGAATCACCTACAGTCCCTGTGAAGAAACCGCGAGAATCACCTTGGAAGCACCTCCAGTTTATTGCAATAACACCACTTCCAGGCCAAAACAGTGCGTTTCGATGCCGCGCCTGAGTGCCCCGATAACCACAACGGCGGTGCATGCAAAGATGCGGTCGGCCTCGCCAACGCTTACGAACAAGGCGGCAGTCATGAAGCTACTGGTGTCGTGTAAAAGTAGGTTCTCTCTCCATATGTAATCCACAGACTTAAATCTTCATCAAGCGGGCATGCAGGCAGAGCCTCATCATGTGGAAAGTTGATAGCTAGGGACTATCCTTGGGGCCTGAAGCACCCCATTGATTCGATCTCGTTTCGAGATATAGCTCTATTCCCCAGTTTACGTGGCTGCATCACTTTGAGCCATGGAGCTAGGAGTCACTTTATAGGGATATTCCCCCAATAATGGAGAATCCCATGGAACAGAACATGCGAGATGAAATGGAAGCTAAGATCATATAGTGGGTTCATAGGAGGATGCATGAGGAACATACCCTAATATACTATAGTAGTTTCCAGTTTCCTTTCCATTCTCCTTATTTAACACAAATAGATACCCTCTTAAAATGTAGTAGTTCTGGCTACTTCTTGCAGGAGTAGACTGGGTAGTGCTTCTGGGCACGGACAACTACGTGCTCCCAGCTCACTTCAAGAATGCTCTCAAGACTTTCGATCCTGCAGAGCCGCTCATCCTTGGCATCAGAGGCCATGGCTGTTTAGAATTTAGAGTTCAGGATTTAGGGTTAAGAGTTCAGGGTTTAGAGTTCAGGATTTAGGCTTAAGAGTTTAGGGTTTAGAGTTCAGGATTTAGGCTTAAGAGTTTAGGGTTTAGGGTTTACTGACTATGGGGACACCCAGAACAGTACCCGGAAGTTTGGGAAACCTTGAACCCTAATCCCTAGACCTTACATAAAACCTGTATAACCCCACCTCCAATTCTTGGAACCACCCTAAACCTTCAACCCTAAACCGTAAACCCTAAACCTTGGGGGCTTGGAAGTGTAGAGTTCAGGCCGGCAATGGCAAGATCAGTGGCTGTTTTTTTATGATAAGTTATAGGGATAACGGAGAAGAAAATAGAAAGTATAGGGATTATAAGGATTATGTAGGGGTTATATGGGGCTATGCCGGGGATATATAGGGGTTATACAGGGGTTACATAGGGGACATAGGGATTATGTAGGGGTAATTTAAAGATCATGTACAAGAAAATTGAAAATACTAAGTTATTGCAGGGCATATGTTGGAGTTATCCAGAATTCATGGAAAGAACGTTGAAATTACTATGGACTATAGTACACTCGCGTTTTTGTCGGGATTTATGTCGAGCAACTGACAACAGTTTCATCTGAAACCTCCACCTACCCGAGAGATCTCGTGTTCTTAGTCCAAATTGTTTTATCTTGAATTTTGTCTTACGTGTATCACCATGAGTTACATCTATTGTGATCATTGATTAGTGTAATTCATTTTCTTTTTAAAAAAATGTCTGACTTAATTTGTATTCTCCTCCACATCATTATTAACTATTGTTATTGTTCCTCACTCCATTACCTCTTATTGTGTTTGACAATCGTATAGTTCCTTGTACGTAGTATTGTTGTTCTCATTATTTGCTATTATCATCTTCAGTGATGATCACCAGCGCTGAATAATTACAGCATTACAATTGCAATCATATAGACACTCACCTGCCTTCGCATTTAGCTGTGTGTCATCTGAATGGTACATGTCATTGTCCCTGTTAAAAAATGGAAACTACTATGGACTATAGTATATTAGGTTGTATATCGGGCAAACCCAAATCCCCAAAACCGTGCGCCTGGCGTAACTCCAAAGCCCTGAGCCCTGAAGCCCCCAAACTCTACGCCTCTGTAGGGATTATATAGGGCTTATGTAGGGATAATGGAGAAGTGCATGGAAACTACTATATTGTAGTAGGATATATATTAGCGTATATAGGGTTACCCTGAAACTGAAGCCCTGGCAGTTTCGGAAGGCTGTGGACGCTTCGACTGCTCTGCAGGTGGCCTCTGTGGTGGAGGAGGGCAGATTTTTAGCCGAGCTGCAGTGCAGCAACTGCTGGCCGGAGGCTGGGGATTTAAGGCAACTTAAGTCCAGGGGGATGACATAGGGTTTAGGGTTTAGGGTTCATTTAGGGTTTAGGGGTGTTTAGGTGTTAGGGTTTAGGGGTTTAGGGGTTTAGGGTTTAGGGTTTAGGGGTTTAGGGTTTAGGGAAGGCCTCCCACAAAAGACTCCCCCAACCCCTCAATAGGCCCCCTCATAGTCCAGAAGCGGGACAGGGTCTATAGTGGGGGGTTTGGGGTGCTATTGGAGCCCGTGTAGATAGATGGTCAAAGACCCATATCGTAGTTGCCGAAGGTTAGGTTCCCTATCACAAGTATCATAGTACATTCGGGTCTCTAGTTTTTGAGGATCCCGTATATATGTATATGTATATGCACATGTAATCGCATGTATATGCATACACACACATATATATATGTATATATGCACACACAGTAGGACATCAGCAGATAGACAAATAGATGAGTGTATGTGTGTTTTGTATGCACATGTACACACCCCACAAGTGGTCCCTATGTACCCGTTACAGTACCTCATGAGGAACTTCCCATGATGGTGACTTCACTTCTCTCTAGTAGTTAGATCTAAAGTTTAAAGGGAGTATCATGGAGATCATGCAGTGAGGGAGGGAGCATTTAAGACTCAGGCAAGGATACGCCTAGTGTATGGCCACGACAAGCCAAGGACCCTCTTCCTCATGTCAGGAAGAAGCCGAACAAATGCAACAAAACTTCCAGTTAGCGTATATCATGTAATGAGGGAATTTTAGGGGATGATGCCGCAGATCAGTCAGGCTTTACATCATCATTGAATGTAGTAGCTCATCTTGGCCACTTGTCGTAGCAGCAGCAAGAGGAGGGACACTAATTGCAAAAGCAATGACAATCACAGCACAACTAAAGTTTCATGATGGCAGAATCGTCAGAATGATGCTTGACTTGCATGATATCAGTACTGACATTTACATTTACGGCATATTCAATTTATGCGCAATTGCTTTACTACGGAGAGGGAGACAGAGAGAGATAGAGAGACAGAGAGAGAGAGAGCGAGAGCAAGAGCAATCACAATGATAGCAACCCATTATGCGGCACACACAAGCGAGACCTAGCAAGTAATGTTACCTTTACAGCCCAAAACTTGCTTGAGGTTACCCAGTCCAACAAAATGTGACTGCTGCCTACTTGAACCCCACACCCTAAACCTGCTTGCCCTCAGGTCGGGAGTCTTTCGTGCTGGAACAGGGAAAGGAATCCCGCGCCATAGGTCGGCACATCTAAATCAAGGGGCTGAATGCTCAAGTCTGTAGGGCTTAGGGAGTTGTCTCGGGTTTTTTGATTGGCTAGGGCAGTGTAGGGATTGCAAAGATTTGGGTTTCGGCTTTTGTATGATTGCATAGTACAGGGGCAACATCGGTTTTGATTTGCTGCGGACTATATGCTTTAGGATGCCTCGAATTCTGAGCCTCTTTTTGGGTCCTTACTGTGCCATTATTTGTAATTCGCAGCATTGTCATTATTTTTGCAGTCTGCTAATTCTGTAGTGCTGTTTTTCCCATTCTTCTTCTTATGTTGTGAATATCGTTATTGTTAGTACTTTTTCTTATGTGGTTAATATTATTCTTCTCATTATACTTAAGTATTAATATTATTATGCATATTAACATTGTAAATCTTGATATTGAAACGTATTTTTATTACTATTTTGGTTAAGGTATATACTTTTTTTTATTAGTATTCTATTCTTGAATCGGCATCACACGGCCAGGTGGCTGGGGCGACGTGGCAAACTGTCGTGTGGCCGCGAAGCGAAAGATACCCATCCGCCCCGGGGCTGAGGGCTGGCAATTAAGTTTCAGTAGGGGTTATATTGGGATAGTGGAAAAGAAAATGGAAACTACTATAATGGAGAATCAAATGGAAAAGACAATGGAAAATGAAATGGAAGCTGGGATTATATCAGTTTTCAATGACTGCCAAACACGTGATTTTTTACCCCTTTTGAAGCCTACCCCACGCAACCCACTCCCACAAAACTATGTTCAAGCTTGCACCAACTTCTTGCATCTTGCCACGACTTACGTCCGACTCATTCTTTGATTTGGCTTCTGGCTGTGTCTGAACCAAAAGATTGAAAGCACCTGAGGAATCTGATGCCCAATGTTGTAACCAAGCTATTCCCCCAACCTTGGCTTACGGCTTCTGGATTTTGCCTTCAGTTAAGGGTGAGTTGTTGCCTTGAGAAGACGCGAGCAACTGAAAGCGGGCTTAGTACCATACTGTCAAGATTTTGGCGTTCTATTGTACTACAGGGGCAAGCACATTCTGCAAGGATATTTCACCTACGGGGTTGTTGATTGCTGCAGAGACATTGTTCGCACCTCTTGTTCGCTGCTAATTTTCGCAAGTTAATTTTCTGCCAACATAGCCAGTTGCGCTGTTGTGTGTGATCGCCCCTATGCTTGTTGTGGTCATGATGCACAGGAAACTTGGTTGGCCTCCATGCGTGGCAAGTGAAGGGCCCCATGCACAAGCGTGACCTCACTTTTCACTATGTCAGTGCCACTGCCATGTACGAGATGGATGGGAACGTCACGGGTGGCAGATCGCTCCTTGCAGTTGACGTGTATGAATCGATCCCTGAAACCTACACTAGGGACAGGGAGGCATATGTCCAAGCGGAGAACATGCGCCGAAAGCTTCACAAGCGATGACCTGGCAAAACGTGATCCTGTTCGTGCCTCGTTAGAAATCGCTGTTGTCCCGCTTAATGGAATCTTTACCTAGCACATCTTGAATGCGTGGATGTCACCTGTACATTCATGCCGCTTAGCTTGTTCAGATGTATCCGATGCAATGAGCCCAGCCGCCAGTCCACCAAAACAGTGTTGTGAACGTCCCCATCTTTTGCGTCGCTTGGGTTTCAGTTGGCTCGGTGTATCCGTGCATCATGGCATCTAGTCCTAAGACAGCGTCCGGTCCAGAAACCTTTTCACACATTTACGAGTTGTCATCGGTCTAATTTTTGGGGGGGCCTCAATGCTGACAAAGATTCAGCTGAAAGCTTTGAAATGCATCATAATGTCGCTGGAAAGTCCAGGACGTCATCAGGAAGCTTGTTGCGTGTTGGACATCCCATGCCCTTTCAGCAATGCAAGTGCCCATGCCCCTGGGAAGATCTAGAAGGTAGAGCCCCCAATGTGGTACCCTAAACTATTGGGTCTTCCAGGAACTCTTAAGGGGGATCTACTTTTATGTGCTCCCAGGGTTCTGGGTGAAGGTTGGCATGTCTCAAAGGTTATTGTTCAAGTGGGAGCGGAGCCATGAAGACGAATCCTCAGAGGCATTGTCTTATGAGATGAGGGATGCAGAGCCCCAAGCCTCAAGGTCAAAGACTGTAGCTATGACGTGCAACATAATGCTCGTATATGCCCCTAAGCTGTGGGGTATTCCTGGGAATAAGCTTTAAATATAATGGACGATCCCTTTATTTGCCTTATGAAGCCATCCGAACTTTGGTTTTCATAGGTGTTCTAGATCTATCTTAGAGCATTCCTATTTTCACGTGTGCCATAGTTTAAAACTCCGAGTATCCTCCTTAATAACCCCTATAATACTCCTGTATATAATCCCGTATAAAATCCCCTTTACGGAGTGTAGACCCTAAACTATAAACCCTACACTCTAGATTTAGATACAGTGGGTTATATAATCCTCTACATAACACCCTTTCAGGAGTTCAGACCCCTTTTAAGGAGTCTAGACCCCAAACCCTATATAATCCTTCCTTTTAAGGAGCTTAGGCTATGGCTCACGTACATTGGATGACAATGAGGCCTTCGCCTGCCGGGAGTTCGACGCTCTCTTGGCCTTCACTCGGAAAGGCAACGTCTTCCGCATGCAGGCCATCCCGCAGCTTAGGGTTTAGGGTTTAGGGTTTAAAGTTTAGGGTTTAGGGGTTTAGGGGTGTAGGGTTTAGGGTTTAGGGTACAGGGTTTAAAGTTTAGGGTTTAGGGTTTAGGGTACAGGGTTTAAAGTT